GGACCTTTCAGATTTGGGTTTTCCCAGATGTGCCAGTTTATCTATTCTATAAATAGAACTTTGAAAAATGCTTGTTTCAGAGTCTTTACTTGGGCTTTTTTCTGGAACGCTGACATTAACCCAAATCTCTCTTAAAGTATAACGGCACCCCGAAAGGGGGTTGTCGGGGGTGCTGAGCCCCAGAATCTACCTAAACCTTGGGTGGTGCAAAGACTCAGTGAAAATGGAGGAGAAAGGAGAGATCGTAGAGGGGGCCGTGGGAATGGATACTCAAGGATTTTGTTGTGACTCCGGCTCCCGAGCCTGTCCTCACGGAGGAAGATGACTCTGAAAGTGATGGGGAGGAACTGACAAGGCCTCCCTCTCCAGGACCCTCCTTTCTGGCAACGCCTCAGGTTCCAGCTGAAGGCCAGGAGGAAAGCATGTCAGGGCACCCACCAATAGGGAGTGATGAAAATCAATCTTGGATTGATCCCAGGCAGCGTCGGAGGGAGAGGTGTGCGCAGCAAAGGAAGAGGTGGGGAAGGGCCAGAGATTGCTGAGTCACTGAGCCATGGCCCACGGGGGATAAAAGTGGGTGGGGTTGCTCTGCAGGCTCTGTGATGGACAAAAACTGCATATCGGGAGCTTCAGATGGGATATTTTTCGGACTTAAGGCTTGGACTTTGTGAATGACTTCTGACTACTCTTTGAACTCTTAGTTGCCCCAGCAACAGACTACAGATACACTGACTTCTGTTTCTAGAGGTGATAAGAAACTTGGCAGGCATTCAGAAAGTAGCTGCCAGAATTTTTATCTGCCAAAGGGATTTTGGCTTGTGAGGTGGGGGAACAGAACAGATTTACTGACACTCTGCTTTCTCCTTCCGAAGAAATGGTGCGAGCCATTGAGGCTGCAGAAGAAGCCCGAAGGCTGGGCACTCGGCCCAAGAAGCTGGATTCCTGGAAAAGTTGTTAGTCTGACCCAACTCCAGAAAGGGGACCAGAGGAGAGACCGCCTGGATATAGTGCTGCTCCCAGCCCAATGAAGTCGCCCGATGATCCAGAGTGGAGAAGAGGGACAGTTATGGGATCCGGAGACTCCTGGGACTGGGACCCGTTGCCCCCAATGTGAAGCCAATCCTTAACTGGGCTCCTGGAGCATTTCGAACGGATGGAAGGGGGAAGTTACGCACCCACTCCCAACCTCCTCAAGTGAAATGGAGATTAGCGCCACCTACATTCACCTTCCCCAATCCAGGACTTGGTGGAGGAATTAGCGGGGCACCGACACTTCTCTACCCAGCCAGGATTGAAATGAGTGGATCAGTGTAGCATGGCCATACTGCAGCTGGGAGACATCAGATGCAAAAGACCCCCTTTGGGGCCTGTCACCAGCCTGCCTCTGTGCTACCTCCTGCTGAATATATACCCCCAGGCTGGGGATTTTATCCCGGCCGGGGTTGGTCCAGTGCCAGTGGTATCCAGCGTCGTCTGCTCCAAGTTTCCAGGGATCCCCATGGTCCCAATATGGCCCAACAATCCCAGCACCATGGGGGGGGGGGCTAATCCAGCAGCCAGCTGGAGTCCCCCCCCTCTCTGCAGCCCAGCAAGCAGCTCAGCAGCCAGCTCCCCTCCCCCAGAGGCTGGCTGGAGCCCAGCAACCACCAGCAGCTCCGCCACAGGCTCCAGCTCAGCCACCATTGCCAGGCCCCATCAACCTGCGAGGCCAACGCCACCCTGCCTCAGAGCAACCTTTGATGGTATGCCTGCCAAACTGGCTTACTTCCTCAGCCGGGTCTGGGCTCATGTAGATCAGTATGGAAACCAATACGGGTCAGACTGGGACTTGGTATCGGCAATTTCTGATGGGATGAATTGGGGGGGGGCTTCTGAATGGATAGCCCAGCTGCACAATGAGAGTGCTGCGGAACTAAATGATGCCAATGGATTTGTTGTGCTGCTCCTGGCCAGATTTGAAGACCCAGATCAAATAAATGAAAATGAAGCTGCACTAAAGGTGATGAAGCAAGGTAATCGACCCATAAAAGACTTTGTATGGGACTTTAGACGGGTCGCAGGGAACCTGGGGCATTGGCCAGACCGCATACTCCTACACTATTTTAAAGAGGCCATTGACCAAGAAGTCAGAGCAGTCTGGGGGGTCTGGGGGTGCTTATTGTGGCCCGTCAGTGGCCTGTGCAGCTAGTAGCTGATTCCGACAGCGAGGAGGCTGGTGTGGTGCTGCACCAGCAGCCTGTGCAGCTGGCACTCGAGTCAGACAATGAGGAGGCTGGAGAAGATATGGTGCCAGAGGCGGGGATTCAGCCAGGGCCTTCAGAACTTCCAGAAGCTCCCATAAGTGAAGAGGAAGAAGAGAAGAAACTTCTTCTTGATGCACAAACGCACAGAGCTGCCAAAAGGCTCCTTAGGAGGAGGTCTCCTCAAGAGTAAGGCTTGGGGCTAATTGGCCACTCCCCTAGCCTATTTAAAGAGGGACGACGACTGAGGCAATTTGCAGGAATCAACTTTGTTCACATTCCTTCGCGTCTTGACCTTGTTTCTCTTATCAGTTTCCTGCAAATTACTTCTGGGCATTCTGCCAACCACAGTAAGACTATGGTTATTATTCTTTGGATTCTTGTTGGCTGTTAATGAAGTTAATTTAACAGCCTTTGTTTGGAAAAAACTGATTTAAATTAGTAAACTAAGGTTTGTACGGACTTTGTGTGTGCTGCGTTCTTTGGGGTCCATAGCTGGGGCAGAACAGTGCCTGAGTGACTGCACAACTGGTATCCATAGCGCTAGACAGGGAAATCTACCCCCACCACAAAACCCCAGCAGAGAAGCCTCCTCAGAGAGCTTTAGCTAGACGGCTCCTTTCAAAGCCAGCTGAAGTCACCCCGATTAAATGCTATCGGTGTGGACAACTGGGACATCGAGCTTCTGAGTGCTTGGCCCCAGTTCCATAGCAATGTTCCACAGCTGCACGAGGCAGAAGGGCTTCAAGAAAGGCCCCAGACACCAGTCAGACAAGCCATAGAGGTTCCCCTCCCCACTGAAGAGAGCGAGGAACTTCCGGCCAAAGAAGCCCCTCCCAGTGAGGCTAGTAGAGATGAAGACCAGATGGTGAGTTCACCCATCCCCCCCCATTTCAATTAAAGTGAAACTGGTGGTGTCAGACAGGGAAGCAAGGAGAACTGCCAGCAATAATAGATACTGGCTGCACCAGATGTTTAATTGGACTTCCAATTGTTGAACAATTGGGAATCAGAATAACAGCCTTAAAGTGCCCAATTAAATTTCACCAGGTGAAATTTATGGGGTGTTAGTTGGAGGGGTCCCTGCCACCCATATTACAGAACTGGTTAGATTAGAAATCAGAAGACATCATGAATTTATACGATTTATAGTAACCCCAAAGATATCAGAATCTGTCATACTGGGCCTGGCTTGGCTGGACAAATGGGCCCCCACCATCAAATGGGAAGATGGACACCAGAAAATAATAATGGGGGTCAGCCCACTACCCCCTGCCCCTCCTCCCCAGGAACAGCCTACCCAAAAGGGCCAGCTGCCAGAAACAGCAGTGGCTTGTTCAGACATGCCTCCAGGTGAACCCCAGATTCCTAAGGTATATACAGACTTAGCCGAGGCATTCCGTGAGGAGGAATGTAACCTCCTCCCACCTCATCAGTCCATGGATTGTGCCATCAAGTTAGAATCGGGAACCAAGTTGCCAAAACCCAGGATGTACTCCATGACACCTGCTGAAATGACCGAGTTGAGGAAGTTGACACCAACCTAGCCAGAGGGTTCATCGAGCCTGTGAAATCCAGGGTGGCTGCCCCTGTATTGTTTAAAGAAAAGGAAGATGGGGGCTGAGATTATGTATCGACTTTAGGGGAGTAAACTGCATTTGCATACAAAATACCTACCCCCTACCACTAATGAAAGACTTGTTGAACCACTTGTCAAAAGACAAGATTTTCACCAAGTTAGATCTAAGGGAAGCCTACTACCGGGTTCACATAAAGGAGGGAGACGAATGGAAGACTGCTTTTAACTGCCTCCTGGGCAGCTTCCAATTCAGGGTCATGCCTTATGTGTCCAGCAGCATGAGACTCCTGGTGCTAAGGAGGGGTCATTATTCTCGACTAGGGGGCCACTTTGGATTTTTAAAAACCCTCCATTTGACTAGGAGACAATTCTGGTGGCCAAGAATGAAAACTGATGTAGAAAATGTGAAAACCTGCCACACCTGTACCACCATGAAGTCCAGACCAGGGAAGCCCCCTGGGCTTCTCCAGACCGTGGCTGAACCCACCAAACCCTGGGAGGAGATTGCAATGGACTTCATAGTCGAACTCCCTGACAGTAGCGGGAACAAGGTGATTTGGAATGTCATTGATTTATTCTCCAAACAAGAATACTTCACTGCCTGCAACGGACTACCCTCGGCCAAGAAGCTGGCAAAGCTTTTTGTGAAGTACAGACTACATGGGGTTCCAAGGAGAATAATATCAGATTGTGGGGTCCAGTTTACTGCTAAGTTCTGGAAGGAGTTCCTGCAGTCCATTGGGTTATCCCAGGGGTTTAGCTCAGCTTTCCACCCATCTACTAACGGATTGGCTGAAAAATTGAACTCAATAGTGGAACAATACATTAGATGTTATGTAAATTATCAACAAGAAAACTGGGAGGACTTATTACCGTTTGCAGAAATGGCTTATAATAATGCAGTACACAGCAGTACTGGGTTGACTCCTTTTCAGATAACTATGGGCATGGATTTTGGGTTGATGCCTGAGTTGCCTAGAGAGCCACCCACTTCCATGTCCCAAAAAGGGTTGGGAGAATTCTAAGAAAGCTTTAGCTGAATCAGCAGAAAAATATAAGGCCCAGGCAAGAAATTTGGACCCAAATTCATAGGTCCCTTCCCTATAGTGAAAATGATTAACTCAGTGACTGTCCAACTTAGCTTCACTTGCATATTAGGGAAAGTACACTCCGTTTTCCTCAGTAGCTTATTGAAACCAGCAAGAGAATCTAACTTGGTAGTACAGTGGTTTAAAGCACCCTGTTATTAACACAGCTGCCTGCAATTACTGCAGGTTCAAATCTTACCAGGCTCAAGGTTGACTCAGCCTTCCATCCTTTCTAAGGTAGGTGAAATGAGGACCCAGTTTGTGGGGGCAATAAGCTGACTTTGTATAAATATACAAAAGTATGAAGGCTATTGCTTAACGCATTGTAAGCCACCCTGAGTCTCCGGAGAAGGGCGGCATACAAATCAAATTAAAAACAAAACAAAACGTAAGGCCCTTGCCAGCTACTCCCCCTTCCTTTGGTAGTGCAAGGAGAGACTCATTATGAAGTGAAGAAGATCCTTGACTCTGGATTCTACAGGGGCTACTTACAATATTTGGTACACTGGAAAGGGTACCCATTATCTGAAGCTACTTGGGTGAAAAGTTGGGATGTGAATGCTGATACTCTAGTGAGGCAATTTCATGATAAATTTCCCGAGAAACCAAAAGGTCCCCCTGGGGGTGGGCAGAGGGGGTTAAGAGGTCCTGTACAAGGTGTTAACCCCTTCTTTTGTGTTTTTCTGTTTTATTTTTCAGGGTGTCTTTTTTTCTGCAGGGGGGCATGTCTGTCAGCTTTGGAAGCCATATTAGGCTGGAAACTTCCATGCTGCCACCTTCTCATGTGTGGGAAAGTAGGAGGGGGGATTAAGGAGGGGGGGTTGTTAGTAGACATAATAGCATTCTTCCTGTCGGTCAAGGTCAGGGCGATCCTGCATCTGGAGAAGGAGTGGTCGGAGTGAGGTCTCGAGATGGGAAGGATGGTGATTGGAGCATGTGATCGACTGAGGAGTGAGGGGATGGTTTGGGGGTTTTGATTTACTGAGGGAAAAACCTGGACCTCTCAGATTCGGGTTTTCCCAGATGTGCCAGTTTACCTATTCTAGTAAATAGAACTTTGAAAAATGCTTGCTTCAGAGTCTTTACTTGGAGCTGGGGGGTTTTCTGGAATGCTGACACCTATTTTCCAAAGCATCAGGATAGAGGACAATGGATGGCAACTCCATTGAGAACATTCTATTATTCTGTTAGTTGTATCTCCTGACACCTCTAAGGTGATGAGAGTTTTAGGCTGATCCATCTCCAGGACATGAGTTTGAGGAAAGTTATCATCTGAGAAGAGATGATAAAGAAAATATAACCCTTGAGGTATTTCAAAACACTTGATATGCCACAACCCTGCCACTTTGTAGGTAGAATTAGATAATACCTCTGAGACAGCTGATGCCAGCAACTGCCTGAGCCAACTGCCCATTGGTTGAAGGAGCAGCTGTTCCTCCACCAGGAGCAAGCACAGGAGATTAAATCAAACTGACTTGTTTCAGCCAATGCCACCCTTCTGAGCTTTTCCTTGCTTCTTGGTTTCCCAATAAAGTGGGAGGGAAAAAAGGACCATCTTAGAAACAAGATAAAGAGACACAACAAGATACACCCTGTCTTCCTTGAAATTTAACACTCAGAGATTAAAGGTTATGTAAGCATTTCTGTTTATAAATTCCCACTCACCCTTCTGCTCGTATTTCAGGTTCTGAGCACTAAGCAGAAATGAAGCTGGTCTTGTGGTCGTCCCTCCTCCTGGTCTTTTGGGACTCGTTTCTGGCAGATGGAGGTAAGGTTACAAAATTTGAAAAGAATTGATCCTCTCACAGGAGCCAAAAACAGAGAAGAACCACTTATGACAGTAAACTGGAGCTCTGGTGGCTCAGCAGACTAATTAACATCCACTTACATCAGCTGCCTGCAATTACTGCAAATTCAAATCTCACCAGGCTCAAGGTTGACTCAGTCTTCCATCCTTTCAAAGGTAGGTAAAATGAGGATCCAGTTTGTGGGGGCAATAAGCTGACTTTGTATAAATATGCAAAAGTATGAAGGCTATTGCTTAACGCATTGTAAGCCGTCCTGAGTCTCCAGAGAAGGGCGGCATATAAATCAAATTTTAAAAAAAAATCTGTCTTTGAGGTACTGATTTGAAAAACTAAATCCTGTTTTTGTCAATCTGGAGTCCCTTGATGAAAAATATAGACTTGTGTAGAAGAGCATCTGCCTGATTAAAGTTTTCAAGATTAGAAACTTTGGTTCCCTTACTCAGTACTTACAGTGTATTGCAGAGCTATGAAAATTCACTTTCAGCTTTGGCGCAGAAGTCTTTCCCAAATCCAAAGCATTTTTAGACAGAGACCCATCCTGGGTTGTATTTTTTAAAGCTAGTTGATAAATTCACTGCTATATGTATTCCTCATTGCTTGTCCTCGTTCAGTAACATCTAGCTACCATTTGCACTTTTGACCTTATGGCAAATCTGTCAAGTATTTGCAAGCCATTGGCACATGTGTCATATAGACACCAATGGAGACAGAGAGTGTCTCCACCCCTATGTGGAAAGGAGGGGCTTACCCTGAGTATAAAACCCCCTCCAACCTGCTCTCTCCATCTCTTTCTCCATCTCTCTCTTTTCATGTTTGTTCCTCATGAGACTTGATCTCTGTTGTACATAGTTAATATGATTTATCATATGAATAAATACGTTTAAGACATTTATTTATGCATCTGCCTCTGAACTCTTCTATGCTCCTGGGTGTTTCTACGATCCCAATTCCACAAAATCCTTCTATGAATGACCTTTCATAAAATGAAATGACCCAGAATGATCTGTAAAGCAAAGGAAAGCTGAAGTAACATCATAAACTCACTTGAAGTTCCATCTAGTGACTGCTTCACTTAATGGTTGAGTTGCTCATCCCAATTGTGGTTCCTAAATGAGGACTAACTGTATGTGTAAATGTCATCCCAATGCTAAAGCAAAAATGTATTTAATCTTGTTTTATAGGAATTTCAATAACAATTTTAAAATTTTGATCAGTTGATATATTTTTAGACATCTCAAATCCTCAAGTCTGATCACGTGTTACCTATTTTGCTGTTGTATTGTTTTTCTGGGATCTTTTTTTTTTTTTTATTGCAAAAGTTTTACAATTACATTTTCACCCCTTTTTTCACCCCCCCCACCTCCCTCCCCAAACTTCCCATCCTCCCTAACCCTCCCTAACCCTCCCCCCCCAGACTTCCCTATTATGTACTCATAACTAATAACACTGATATATAAGCTTGAACCCATCCCTCCCCCTGTATAATTTTTCCTCTTTGTCTCTTTACATTAAAATATTTCTAATACATTATTTTCAAATAAAAGCTATTTGATACTTTCTAGTTTGGTATTTGTTCTGAACATATTCTATCCAGCTTTTCCATTCCCATTCATAAATCTCTTGTGGACAGTCTTTTAAATATGCTGAAATCTTCGCCATCTCTGCAAAACTAGCCATCTTCAAAGTCCATTCTTCGATAGTGGGCAAAGCTTCATTCTTCCAATATTTACCTATCAACAATCTTGCTGCTGTTGTCATATACAATATCAGTTTTATTTCAGCCCGTGTAAAACCCTTAACTATACCCAATAAAAACAACTGTGGAGAAAATTGAATTTTTTTCTTCAAAACATTCTGCATGACCCACCAAATTTTTATCCAAAAAGCCCTAACTTTCCTGCAGGTCCACCAAACATGATAATACGTAGCATCTAAACATTCACATCTCCAACATTTTGGCTGAACATTAGGGTACATACATGACAACTTTTTAGGATCTAAATGCCATCTATAAAACATTTTATAAAAATTTTCTCTCAGGTTTTGCGACTGTGTAAATTTAACATTCTGAACCCAAATTTTTTCCCAAGTTTCCAGCATCACTGGTTCTTCAAAATTCTGTGCCCACTTAATCATACAATCTTTAACTAATTCCGTTTCTGAATCTCTTTCTAACAAAACATTATAAAGCCTTTTAATATGCATTGGACCTTTCTCTCTTATATGTCTAACCAATTCTTCCTCATGCAACATAATACCAGTTTTTTGGTCCTCTTTCCATCTCAGTTGTAATTGATTATATTGTAACCAAGTTAAGTTAAACCCTTCATCCAACAGTGTCTGTAATGTCTTCAGCTGCCATCTGCCCGCATCTGTGAAAAGAACCTCTTTGTATAAAAACCCCCCGAGTGACATTATATTTGTATTCCACAAAGTATGACCAAGATCCAGCCATAGCGGTATTTTATAATCCCATTTGAGTCGGTGCTTCTTCCAAACTCTCATCAAAGAATCTCTAAGTATATGACTTTTAAATACTTTATCTACTTTGTCGTCGTAAAATAAGTAAGCATGCCATCCAAATTCAAGATCAAAACTTTCTGCATTCAATATTCCAGCCTTTTTACTTCCAAACCAATCACTTGTTAAAGTTAAAGCTGCTGCATCATAATATAACTGTAGGTTTGGGAGTTTAAGGCCTCCTCTTTCTGGAACATCTTGCATAATTTTCAATTTCACTCTCGGCTTCTTCTCGTTCCAGACAAACTTATTCACACCAGACTGCCAAACTTTCAGTTGTTTATCACTTTTAAGCACCGGAATCATTTGAAACAAAAACAGAAATCTTGGCAAAATGTTCATCTTAACTGCTGCTATTCTTCCAAGTAAAGACAGTTGCAGCTTTTTCCAAGTCTCCATGTCTTTCTGAACCTCTCGCCACAACACCTCATAATTATTTTGAAACAATTTCATGTTTGATTCTGCAACCTGAACTCCAAGATATTTTACCTTAGGTACAATTTCAAAACCTGCCCTCCTTTCAAGCTCATGTTTGCGATCTTGTGTCATATTTTTAACTATCATTTTAGTCTTTTTTGAATTCAGTCTAAAACCTGAAACTCTACCATAGTCTTGTATAATGTCCTTCATCAGGATTGTTGATTCCATTGGTTGTGATAGGGTAACAACCAGATCATCTGCAAATGCCTTTATTCTATAATCCTCTTGCCTTATCATTATGCCTTTCAAAATTTTAGAGTCCCGTATTGTATTTAGCAAGACTTCCAATGTTAAAATAAATAAAAGTGGGGACAACGGACATCCCTGTCTTGTTCCTTTTTCAATTTTAAACTCTGTCGTCAGACTTCCATTAATAATAATCTGTGCCTTTTGCTCTTGATAAATTGCTGAAATCGCCTGTATAAATTGGTCCCCAAAGTCCATCTTTTTTAAAGTCTTTAGTAGAAAATTCCAATCCACTCTATCAAAGGCCTTCTCTGCATCCAAAAAAACCAGCACTGCAGGAATCTGTTTATTCTTATCAAGATATTCCAATAAATCTATTACTTGCCTTACATTGTCCTTCATATATCTGCCCTCAATAAATCCCGCTTGATCCTCATGAATCACCTTTTGAATTACTGGCATCAACCTGTTGGCTAATACTTTTGCATAGATTTTATAGTCTGTATTCAAAAGAGATATTGGTCTATAATTCTCTGGTTTTTTAGGACCAACTTGTTCTTTTGGTATCAAAGATATATAAGCAGTTGTCCATGATGGGGGTATTTTACCCCCTTGTTGAATATTGCAAAATAAATCTCTAAGTTGTCCCACCATTTCAGCTTGTAAAGTTTTGTAATACACTGCGGTCAAACCATCCGTGCCAGGAGCTTTGGCTGTTTTTAACTGTTTAATTGCTGCTATTATCTCCTCCTCTGTTATAGGATGATTCATTCTTTCCTTTTGTTGATCAGTAATTTTTGTAACTCTCTTATCATTTAAATATTTTTCTATAAGTCCATTCTGCACCTCCTCTTTGGCATATAGTTTGGTATAATAGTCCACAAAAGCTTCTTTAATTAATTTTTGTTGAAAAATTTCTTTCCCTCCAATATCAATACTATCAATAGTCCGTATACTTTGTTTTTTCCTCAATGTGTAAGCTAACCATCTGCCCGGTTTGTTAGCGTTGCAAAATGTATTATGCTTCGCATATTGTAAATTTGTTGCAACTTGTTCCGCCATAAGCATTTGAAATTGATGTCAGGTATGCTTCCTTCAGTATCCAGGAAAGAAAACCCCAAACTCAAGCATTTTGAAGAATTTGGTACTTTTACTGAATATGAAAAGATTAACATCCCAGTGAAAAGCTGGAAGTGATCAAAACGCGCGAAATGCATCTACTAAGCTTCTTCCCCCCCTCGTGTTTATAGTTTCTCAGCCAATCTAAAGGTCTTCCAAAGGTCAGGTGGCAACACGTCTGGCAGCGTCATCCATCAGGAATGTCAGGGCAGTTGGTCGGCCATCCCCTTCTGAATTGTAGTTTCGATTTCCCCGAAGTACCCTCCTACAAAGACAAACCCCCTCCTGCTCTCTTCCCCCCCTCTGCTCCATACCTAAACCCTCCCCGTTTCTTATGGCAGCTAAAGCAGGAAAGCTGATGCTGACATTCGGCCCCTCTTGCAGAAGAGACGTTAGTCCTAATTAAAAGGAAAAAGAGAAAGAGAAACAGAATATATACAATGATCAAGGTTTATCAGGGTATTTGGCATAGAACTGTTGAACTTTCTTGGGAGCTCGGACATCCCGTTTATTTACCCATTCAGCCTGAGATAGTGGAAAATGTTTCCAGGCAATCAGATATTGGATTTTACCATGGTGTTTTCTAGAGTCCAAGATTTCCTTAACCTCAAAATGTTGCTCCCCTTCTACTAGGATGGGAATTGGAGGGTTGCTA